ATTTCAAAACTGAAATCTTATTGTAACTATACACATAAAAGTTATGTGATAAATGAATAAACTTGTAAAAACAAACTTATTTAGATTCCTTACTATTCCATAACTGTACAAAATTATATATTAATATATTTAGTAGCATAGCATAGAAATTTTGAACTTATTTTATTTTTTGATTTGTTTTCTGTATTTATATACTGTGTAGTAAACTCAGGATGAGGGCAAGTTCAGGTTAGGTAGGTAAAGCTGTTGTAAGTCTATATGGAATATGCTGTCTTTCTCTTCTGGACATATAGTATCTGATGGGGATCAAAAAGTCTAATATAACATTTTTTTTTTCCTTAAAGAAATGTCTACTACAGTGGTGAATGAGCTGCTAGTATTTGACATATAGGCATTGGCTAAAACACTTTTTGGCTATTCATTCAATTTAAGAAAAATAACTGAGTTAAATATTTGAGATATTTAAAAATAATGACTGGGAGCATTTTCTCTATTACCTTTGCATATATGCCTAATATAAGACTTCCAAGTACCTATTAAAAAACAAAACAAAAACAACTGCATACTGAAAATAAGTTTGTCACTTTTTTCCTTTGTTCTGCAACAGGCTCTCTTCCATTCTGTTTTAACTGTCCTGCTACTCTTTTCTAGGTGAATCTCACCCTAAGACAACTTCTTTAGTTTCTAAAGTCAAACTTCTTAAATTCTGCCTTTAGACTCTAAGCTGTACATAGGAAACATAGTGGGTAAAATGGGTACTTCGGTGTGGATGATATTGCCTAAGATGAATAGCTACGGCTATACCGCTAATGCCTGAGTACTTACAGTGAAACAGAAACATTTGTCTTTACTTTGGTGGATTAATGCAGCAGCAGAGACACTTTGGGGAAGCTACTATCTATCGACGACATCTGTTTGTAGGAATACTTCAGACAGAAGTTATGCTCTTAAACAACAGCAGTAAAACAGTGACAATATCAAGCTATTTCTATTGAAATAGAAAACACTAACATTCACCACTTTGCAAGTTGTGACTGCGCTTGAATATTTAAATGAAAAATCTAGTTCTTGTTGCTGAACTTGGCAAGGATTTTGAAGCTGCGGGCTGCTACGCTGCTCTACCAAGAGGATCTCCGACATGGTCTGGCCCTGCTTGAGTGTCCAGCCCTGCCTGCAGAAGAGGCCAGTGACAATGAGCTTGACAGCTGTGCCTTCAAGGCGGCGGCTTTGTTAGTTCAGCCTTGGCCGTGAGGCTGGCGCAGCGGCCGGCACGCGGGCCCGGCGTCTCTGCGCTGAGGGGCCCCGCGCCGGCCGGGCGGYGAGGAGGAGCAGGGCCGCGGGCCCGGCCTTGCCAGGCGGCCCGGGGTCGGCCGATCCGTTCCCTACTGGACAGGATAAAGAAATGAGAGGGAGACAACAACAAAAAAATAGGCAAATCTTTCTGCTAAGTACTAAAAATCAAGGCGTTCTTAATCTGATGCAAATATAAGCTTGAGTATTTATATACAGCCCAATACTAAATATTTTCAAAGTGGTCAAGTTCCTGCTTTGGATTTTCTCATTTCTTGTCTCTCTATTTTTTTTCCCGGTATTTCTGTCTCCTTTCCATGGCAAACTTGTCTCTGGGAATAAAAGCAGTGTATTGAGACRGGGGGTTAGACAAATCATTGCTGAAGCTATGCATGCAAAACTGCTTGGGAATCGCACTACATTCTCTGCTGTCATTACAGTTTCAAGCAGACTATGACAATCATCATCTAAATAATTTTTTTTTTGAGGGATTTTTGACTTGATATTTACTCTGAAGCATCTTGAGGAAACTTCAGGAAATTTTTAAGCTATGGAACTAAATTAATCTCTGTTCTAGCTATAATAATTTTGCCGGAATTCAGGCTAATCACACATTTTATGTGTATATATGAGAAATGATTCAGGGTAGGCCATAATGGGCAAGCAAGTAGAGAGTATAATATAAAACTTTAGTCATATTAAGTACTCTTTCACAATAAATAGAAATAAATAATATTTATGTTGAACACAATGTGATTTAGAAACTATTCTGCMAGCAGAGACGAAGTTTTTGTTCAAACAAGCCAACAGAATATAATTGTGTGACAGAACAGGAACAGACAAAGCAATTTCTGTGTTTTGGGCTGTTTGCTGTCCCTGTAAGCACTGGCTTGAGTTTCTCCCACCTGGATAGCACAGGGAAGGAGCCAGAGTTTGTCAAGTATCTTGCTTGGGTCATCCTGAGAATGAAAAGCACTTGGATATTTCTTTTAAAATAACATCACATTATTATTTCTTAATTTGTGTATTCTTTAAGCTAGTGGCAGTTTGTTCTTAAACACATGTAGCTAATAAACTGCTTATTTCTTGTGTTTTATGTATGTCTTGCTCCTTCCTGTAGGCGAAGGGTAGGGTCATGCACCAAAGGATGCTCTGGCCCTCTCCCGCCTGCCCTGTTGTAGGTGTCACCATGACCAAGGGTGCACAACAGTGGCCAATGCCTGTAATAGCTACCTGAAGTGAGAAGATCTCTTTGCTCCTCTTCTCTTTATGTATGATAYACACACAGAAAACAAGTCTTAGGGACTCAAGTCTCGGAGACTTACTGGCTCTTTGGGTAGGTGCCAGCTTGGGGGTTTGTGGGGTGCCTAGAGCCACGGCATGTGGCTGAACCCAGAAGCGCTGACTCTGTGCCCTTCAGAGTTCACTTTTTGATATCTGTATATGTGTATATTTAGGTGGATAATTTTCTGTACCTACTAATTTGCTTTTAGTTTTGGCAGACTAACCCCTGACCCACAGTGCTGAGCAACTAACAACTAATCTCTTTGCCCTTAGGAGGGCAAAAAGCTTTCCAATGATATTTCACAGCAGCTTTGCCCTCTGCTTGCTCTGTCAGTTCAAGGCTGGTCTCCTGCTGAGACCGCAGCAGCTGCCGGTCCCTGCTGCATTCCCTGTGGCCGCCCGGCCGGGAGCCTGCCCTTGGCTTCCCATGGCACAGGTGGCACCAGCAGGTAGGACGCCTGATCTCCTAAACACAGGAGCAGGCTTGAAGCGATCGAGGTCACTAATGTTTGTTTTCTGCTGTAATCCAGGCACTACCCAGTCTGTCTCCCTTCCAGGTGGCGAATGAATCCCTTCAATTAAATACTTGGCCATCACTTGCGCAAATACACTTTTATTTTCTCTTTGGGATGGCCTCCTTTTGTGGCAACGCATTCACCATTACTGTGACTGTCTGGGATGCTAGTGTGGGTGACCAAATGAATCAGTGGGTGAGGGAATAAAGCTGGACTAGTGTCTTCTAAGGAAGTTTAACAACCAACTCATCCCTCCAGCAAACAGCTGTTTCCGTAGGAGCTGTGCCGCAGGCAAGGGTCTGCAGGAGATCAGGAGACAAGAAAACAGTCCTTCATCTTCAACTCCTCATAGGCAGCGACACCGCTCCGTTTTTGGCTGCATCCAGCAGGTGGCAAGCACAGCACGCTGAACTGGGTCTAAGGAAGAGCTACGTCTGCCAGGGAGGATCGCGGTGCCGCTCGGAGGTGCACGAACAAAACCGAGTCCTGCAGGTAAATGGCAGGTTCTGTTAGCCCTTCGTGCCACCACTGCGTGCTGAGGCGGTCTCACTGCTCCGGGTGCTCTTCATAATGCATAGGACTATTGTCATGTTCTCTTCTAATACCYGCCTTGTATCTATGGATACATGGATGCATCTATGGAACATCTATGGATAGATGCAAGCTACACATAAAGCACTATATAGAATCAGAATAATGTACCTGCCTTTTTGAATGACAGTCATCCAGACTTCAAACTCTGAGCTATTAGTCCTCCATTAAAATATTAAAATAATGTCCCTTATGTTTAAGTTTCGCATAGTGCTTTAGAAATTTTACTGAATCCTCACCATGGTCTTGTAAAGCAGATATGTAGGAACTGCTCCTATTTTGCAGCTGGAAGAAGCAAGGCACAATTCACAAAACCTGCCTTAAAGTAAATGAATGAAAGAGCAGGAAAAGGCATTGTTCTTAGACCTGGTCCCGCTTCCCTTTTAAAGTATTAAACTAGAGAACTAACTCCTTTTGTTGGATTTTGACTTATTATTTTAACTTCAGGAAATTATATTTTAAATAATAATAATAATATTTGTATAAGTACAAGACATTGATAAACAGAAGATAACCCAACCATTTGCTAGGTACTCAAACCCCACAACAAATACTGTTCTTAAGACTGAGTACTGCAGATTTTCGAGTCATCTATTTGCTCTATGATAAAGTCTTGAACTTTTGAAGTTTTGCTATATTAAAAAAGTATTTATGACCTTATTTTTGAAGAAAATAGATGAATCTGAATTAAGAACAAGTATTTTCTGGAGCTTGTTACTTGAGGTCAAAAGGGTATGGTGATTACATCATTACTTGAAACTTCCTACAGCAGTTATCACCTCTTCCCCTTCATTTGTATGAGAAGTTTGAGCCAGACTTTGTTTTGATTTATGCTAGTGTAAATTTGAAGTGATTTCATACAAGTCAAAGAGCCTCATTGGGAGCAAATACTCCTTATTCTAGGATTGGCTTTCTATAGAGCGTAACTCCGTAAAAGTCAAGAACAAAGTTTGGTCTCAGCTGTTTAGTGATGAGAGCACACTARTAAAACTATTTGATATCTTCAAGTTTGAATATAAATCTAGAAATATATTTCTTCTATATTTAATAAATAAATCTGCATTTTATTGCATATATTATAAACTTCTGCCATTTTAAAGTGAAAAAATAGTAATATAAGGGGGATTTGGATCAATTTCAAGGTCCTTAAATTTCAATCCATGCTTAGAATTGGGCTTATAGATGTAACATACGCTTGAATAACAAGTTATATTATAAATATAATGATATATGGTATTACAGAGGGGGAAAAAAAAMCAGCGCACCTGTTCTGACTCCTTGAACAAAATTCTGAATACTTGCACTAAAATGGCTCAGGTATATGCAAAGCAGGTCTTTCTGAATTCACACAATGTCATACAGGCTTTTCTTTTAACTCCAGTCCAGATATCTTTTCAGTTTTATCTGTCCTCTCTGAAGTAAATGGCAGGATGCTGGGGGTGACCCCCATGTACCTGTTCACCATTTATGTTGCTCCCAGTAAAGAAGCACAAGCTGGGAACCAAGCGATCCTCTTCCCAATATAAAACCAAAGGCCACGGATAAATCCTTACAGTATGACTTTAGAGATTACAGTAGGAGTTTACAGATACAGAGTATGGTTTCTCTGAAGTGGTTTCATGTTTTAGGAATGAGCAGTAAGCTGCGTGCTCAGGACTGCAGATGAATTCTGTCCCTCTTGCTGCTTCGTTCACAAGGCTGTTCTGGAAAAGTATATTGCAAAACACATCGTGCTGTGTCAAAAAGACCCAGCGGTCTTTTGCAGGTCAGTGTATGTTTTCTGGTGGCCGATAGGACAGGGAGCTCATTTTCGTTGTCAGACTGGGATGTGCGCTGACATTTGGAGGGATGTATTTTATTAGCTGAAGGAAGTATTTTTTAAAGTTTTTTCCAAAAAAGACATAGAAGAAAGGATTCAAGCAGTTGTTGAAATAAGCTATGCAGATGGTGAAGGGCATAGCTGTATCCACAATATCAGTGATTTTGCAGTCTGTTATTACATGTAATTGAATTAATACATCCAGAAAAGTGAACACTTGATGAGGAATCCAGGAAAAGAAGAAGAAAAACACTATCGCCACAATCATCTTAAAAATATCATCATTTCTAGTCTTATTTCTTTGAATTTGATAGGCTTTCTTCAGGGTCTTCCAAATTAAGGTATAGCTTGTTAAAATGATCAGAAAGGGTACTAAAAAGCCCAGCAAGTTTTTAGATAAACCTAACCCAACCCGCAGCGTCGTGTTATTGTTGTCGTACCGAAACCCGCAGACCGTCATGTTCAAGTTCTCGGCAAAGAAGATGTTGCGGTGAATGATGACGGGCAAGCTGGCCACGCCGGCGAGGAGCCAGATGGCGATGCACGTTATTCGGGCAACGAACATGGTGCGCCGGATTCGGGACTTCACGGGGTGGACGATGGCCAGGTAGCGGTCGATGCTGAGGCACGTGAGCAGGAACACGCTGGCGTACAAATTAAAGCTTATCCCTGCTGACGCCAGCTTGCACAGGCAGTTGCCGAAGGGCCACTGATACTCCATGGCCGTGTAGGCCGCCCAGAGCGGCAGAGTGATGAGGAAGCACAAGTCGGCCAGGGCCAGGTTCAGCAGAAAGATGCTGGCCACTGTTTTTAGCTTCATGTAGCAGTAAATGACTATAACGACCAGGCTGTTCCCAAATATGCCTATGATGAAGATGATGCTGTAAACGGTTGGGACCATAATGTAGATGTAACTGTGCCTTCCCGAAACCGGGCAGTCGACGTAGATTCTTTTCACGGTTTCTTCAGTAGAGTAGTTTGGGACCATTTTGATGTCTTCCTCTGTAGCTTAGTTTGAGAAGAATATGAAGCTCACACCTGGTGCAGGAAGAGGGTAGGGGGAAAGGAAGGGAATATTATACATGAGGAAGATTAATTTAGGAAAAGATTTCAATTAAAATTCATATTTTGTGCCTAATTGGGATTCAACATCATTTTAAGACATTTTCAACTCCAATTTATAGGAATTGTGCAGTACAGTAAGAATTTAATCAGTCCTTAACTGACCATTGCCTAGTGCTTTCACTTGAAAAAAATGGGTTATAGGCCAAAGCTTTAATTGCTACTTATTCAGGAAAATTTTTAATGGAAAACAATGGAAACACTTAATTAGTTTTTCATAAGCATACTCCGATCCATTTGCTAGCTCTTCCTGGTTTTCCATGTCTTTGAGAAGTCTGGGGCAGGATCCTGCCCTCACTGTCCATGAAACCAGAACTATGATCCCAACCCATGGAGTTAGGGCGTTCTATTAGACTGGAATAGAAGCAGTATGGACTGGGTAAATTATAAAACACTTTTTTGTTTGTTTTGTTTTTGTCTGGAACTTGCATCATCTTCACTGGGAATTTAACACCGTGTGTTTTTGTTGAATCATTACTATTTGGAAGGTAAGTAGATGGAACCAGATCTTATCTGGCCAAATATTTGCCCTAATATAAACTAGTAGTTCCTTTACCTTTGATCTTTTCTGATTTGGAGTGGTAGGGAAGAGGAGATTATTCATTACAGCCTTGATACAACACTTACAGCAGCCGGTAGGAGCTTTTTCATCCCTTTTATAGGGAACTGGAAATAAGCCATAGTTCACGAATGCAGGGCATATGAGTAAAGCAATAAATAAATTGTATACCAATCCCAGCTAAAGGGCCTACTGACTTGTGGTTCATAAAACTGAGAAAACAAATATGTTGCCCATACTACCTCCTAATGTCATTGCTGTTTCATTCTGAAACTCTGTAGTTGCCTTTATCTTAAGTTTGGCTTTTTTTGTAGCAAATGATGCACTTGGAATTATATTTAAGTTAATAATGTGAAAAAATACATTATGAAAATCCAGACCTGTACTAATTTGTTGCATGGGAATATCTACGAAAAGAATTTAAGAAAGATGTGGGAACATCAATTCATATTTGCCATTTGCTAGTGACAAAAACTTTTTGTCCTGAGATTTAAAGCTATAGTCTTAGTATACAAAAAACAAAACAAAGAAAAATCTCCCCCCTCTCACCTTTTGGACCATAGAATRGCCTAAAAATGGTCCAAAATGAGTTTTACAGGGCACTGTTGGGTTTTCCAGGCTTTGTGCTCCAGAATGACATCCCTGTTAATGAGTTGTGACTTTAGTGAGCAGGTAATAAACTGACTTGGATAGGAAGCCCTTTACAAGGTCTACAGAGAAGATTTTTTTGATAAATAGTGGAGGTTTAAAAAAATTACAGTTACTGTTGCAGATTAGTGCTTATTTCTATCTGCAGCATCCTGACAGTTGTTCGCCAAACCAAATTTATGCTGCCTGAAACAGATTAAGGGAAATTGGCATCCAAACGGATTGCTGCTTTGAAATGGAAAAGTAGGACACAGATACGTGTCGGCAAAGCCCACGCAGGACGTGAGAGTCAGAGCAGGAATGAAGAGCTCAGTGCGTGAGCTGCGGCCAGCCTTGGGGCGAGATCACCCTTCGGCTCTCATTTTATTAGTTTATGCTCTTAACAGGCTCACTGCATCTTTATCATCACTAATGTTCTATATATTTTCCTGGACTGGGAATAATTCTTGCATTAATAAGCTGATTCATTTCAATAAAGATAACAGGGTAATTTCAAGGTTTAGTTTCTTGGGAATTCCATTAAGGATGGAATAGGTAATTAAATGCAACTGAAGACAAAACTTCTGTCAAGAGCTGCCATTTAATTCTTCCCAGTCTCTCCAATTCATTCTGTAAGTCTAGGTACCTCAATAGCAGCAGATGCCTGAAAACAGCGTTGGTTATTTTTACCATCTTAAGGAAGTGGAAAAAGTCAAGCAAACACAGCTGGCACAAAAAAATGGATGTCATTCTGGCCACGTGTGGTTCTCTGTGCTTCCTGAGCTGAACTTCTTGACTTTTAAACCCTGCCAAAGCTAGAGTGTATGGGGGTTGGCTCTCTGGAAGGTCATGTTATCTGCAGGACAGGGAGAGCCAGTATAAAAAGATTGCAAGATAAAGAAGTCCTCTTATCTCAGCCCTGGCTCGTGGAAGTGACCAAGAAGTTTTGACAGTAACTGATAGGTTCTGGAGCATCAAGGTCTGCAAATATTTGCCTTGTCCCAGCTACATGCTGGCTCTGCTTGGTCTATTTATTATCACCTCCTTTGCTCACTTAGGCACCCATTGAGATTACAGAAAAAAAATAGCAGTAAGAAACCACAGTATAGTCTCTAGAAAACAAAAAAGTCAGACCTACAGTAAAGTACATAAAGGCCACATTCATGTTGAAGGAAAGTTACTCCTCTATTCTTTTATTATCCTTATGTATTATTATTTTAAACACTTATTTTTGCTGTCATTATCCCTTGCTGGAGTTCACTCACTTGTCCCAGGGCCATGGTTATATACACTTTAGACAAAATAAATGCTTCCTCAGGTGAAGTACAGGAGGTTTCTTGGGAGCTTTGCAGCAATAGGTGGCTAATACAACTTTACACTGCCAGAATTCACTAGAGCTGGTTAAACCACTGGCCAGTAAAAAGTGCAGAGATTGTGCACATTGATAATTCTATTTAAAACACCTCAAATGACCCGAGTTAACAATAATTAGATYATTTTAAGACTGGTACATGTGGAGCTTCTTCTAAGAGGCCTGAACCGATGCAACTATGAAGGGCAAATTATCTGGTGAGCAGCAAACCCCTGTTGTATGTTACTGTCCTGTTTGACCTTTTATCTTTTTTAATTACAATGATTACAATAAGTCACTGATAATGAAATGCTTCAGACTGCTCTACCAACTATTATTTACTGTTCCGTTCCTGGCTTCTGTTGGGCATCCTAATGAAGGGGCCTGGTGAGAGCACAAGGAGCGCGGGCGCACGTGGGGTGCTCTGCGCTGTGCCGRATCAGGCAGCACCCGCTGCAGCTTCCTGCGGGAGCTTCACCGGCTGTAAATAGGGAAGCAGATGTCACCAGGCAAATTTGAAATGAAAATGTGTTTTTGATATTTGCTTTGACGCTGGCTAAATAAATTCAGGCTGACTTAACTGTGATAGATTAGGTACCTCACCATTAGGTAATGTACGTTTTTTTGGGTCTTTTTTGTGCCATTTATTTATTTATTTTGGCCTCCATCTGCTAGGTGGATTATTTGCTTTTCATACAAACCACATTGAAAAGGAAGATATGTTTTATTTTTATGCAAAATTATTACACAATTACACAATAAGAGAGGCTGTAGAATGTTTTGGTGCAATATGCTCAATATACTACATTGACTTTTTTCCCTTTATCACAAGAGCTTAAATCTCCTTTTTTCATTTTTCTAAACTAACGATTTTTTTAAACTAACTTCACTGCCTTTTTTTCCTACATAGCAATTCCCCCCATCTATTCTTTATCTTCATTGCCACAGCAAGTATCTCTTCTTCCAGTTCCTCCRCCTAGTTCAGTCTCTTCCCTCTTTTTCTGTTAGTACTGCTGTTCATTTCACTTGGCAACAAGGTTATATTCTCTGCATCAAATGCAATAGCATTCTGTCTAGAAAAAAGACTAACTTTTTAACAAATATGGATTTAGAAAATACATAATAATTAAGTKCTGCTCCTCTGAGCCAAATATTCTGGCAGAAAACCTGTGTTTGTGTGTTTGTAACAAGCCCCCCATGCTTGCAGAGCAAGGGGAAGGGCTGCTCTTGGGAGTCCTGTGACTGATGTCAGTTGTTGAATCATCTAGAGGCAAGGCAGTGTTGTGGTAGTTTCTTGACAATCAAGGATTATAAAATTGTATTTCTAAGTTATTTTGCAAAGTAATTATCTTTTTAAATACCCAACCTCTACATGGGTTCTTTTAGCTTTTAACTTGTACCAGTGGGCTGCTTTATCTTTTGACTTTGAACTTCTGTATTTATTTCCTCCAGCATCCTTCCACAGAGTCTGTCCTTATATATAATAGTCTTCACAGTTCATTCTGAAAAGAGCTAACATCTCCCTTCTGTCTGTTTTCATAGACAACTCTCATTAATTTTCTATTTACTTCCTAAGTAGCTTTCAAATTGGCTCAATTTTTACTCATAAAATTTATATGAGGAAAGGACAGATGAAAAGACTCCTTCCCTTGGAAAAATCAATGCATGCAGAATGAATAGACAGTGGAACTGGGGTTGTTATTTTGAGGTTTTTTTTTGGGGGGGGGGAGGGGTAAGAAAATGTAAAGGAAAGTAACAGAACCACTGTGATGCTCTGAAGTTTAATTCCTATCATACATGTTTTGACCACTAGAGGTCTGTATTTCCTATTTTAAAATAATATTTGCTTTATTTTGTATTCAGATGCTGTCACTTAGCCTTTTCTGATTATCTTCTTCCTTCAATGCTAGTTCTTTAAGATGCAAACACAAAACAAAAGACTTAATGCGACTTCTCCATGTAAATATAATGTACCAGAAGAAACAATTTTAAGTTTTTATWGTAGTATATAATAGCAACTGGCTATTTTGATCTTAGTACGTTCCTGGTTTTGCCAACCTCAGCCCAATTCTGGTGCTAGTAAGGCATGGAGATGGTTCTGACATTTTTTTTTCAAAGACATATGCAGCTTAAACACTATAAAGTTTCTGAGACAAATTAAGGAAAAAAAATACTCAGAGGAAAAGTAAAATTATAGTTTAGAAATATAGATATAGWCTAAAAGGGTTTTTAAAAATTACTAGGTGTGTAATTAATTTCACTTCKAGGCTATCTTGACTCGAATATGTATTTTTCTAATGGAAATGTTTTATTTCTAAAAATAGTACTTCAGAACCATTTTTAA